GTGCTGTAGATTTCATCTTTAAACGGATTTTGTGTGATAAAGTACTATCTTCCAGCGATCAGTGTTCATTGCTCTTATAACAGATATTTGTGCTGATCAGGAAGAATGATTGTCAGGCAACAGCTGCACTTACGGTCGCCACCTTTTCTTCAAGCAAAGCCCGAACACTCTAGCGTCGCGCTGACATTTTTGGGAGAGAATGAGTGGTGGCTTATTCATATGTAAATAGGACCACCCATTAATATGTATATATCAAAGTTGAGACTATTTTCAGTGGGGGGCCCGTAGCCCCATCTTAATTTTGGTTGCCCCTTTCTGCTGCCACGAAACCCGGAGACAGCATTCAAAACCCGGACTGTCCGGGTGAATCCTGGACAGGTGGCAACCCTAGGTACAATATATGGCCAAGAGTATGTGCATACTGTGACGACATGGTGATCAGTTTATGAGTTAAATGTGTATTGGTGTTGAGTTATGTTTGAGTACGTTATACTGAGTAACCTGGTTATGGAAAGACTATCAGCACCATCCCTCGTTATCTCCCATTGTTCTCTGAAGGCGTTCAGAACAATGACATTCTGGCCAGACTCCTGCTATGGCTGTCTAGAGCTCGTTAGCAGGGGAAACCCTGTGGTGTTATGAAGACAGATTGTCTGGGGGAAGGCAGGGTGGATGTGATGGAATTATAATCTGATCTCATCACGTGCTGTATAAAAGTTTGTGCAGTTGCGCAATAAATCAGAGTTTGTTTCACCTACACTCGTGTCCCGACCAGTGACTGGGGAAACTGAGAGCTACAGATCAGCGGGTTGCAATATCTCCTCAGCAAGGAAGAAGACAGCGGCGGACATACTCATCCTGAGTACAGGGGTCCGTCACACACACCTCTCCAAATTATTGAGTTTTTCCGGTAAGGTCCTATTCACGCAGGCAGTCAGGGGGCAGCCACTGGAGAGAGTCTAGTGATTATTGATAATGGAGCTAACAGCTGTATGTGCATAGTGTGTACAACTCCCTGTGGCCAGCAACAGCGGCTGTCAGTGACCGGTTCTGCTGCCATTTGCATTCATTGAAGTGGTTACATGGAAATAGAACCGCAAACCAACTCTGGAAGCAGACATTTTGCATTTAGGGATGGTGTTTCGGTGAATATCTGGCAGCAGCCAATCAGACAGTTTGTATGCAGCCATTGCACGCCTCTATAAGCAGAAAACTATAGGCCTCAGATCACTCTCTGAATGAGGCCCAATGGGTGCTGTTAATACTACAGCACACAGAGAAAATACATTTTAGACAATTGGGCCACTTTACGGCAACAGTTTAGGGAAGGTCCTTTTTTAATCCATCATGTTGGTTCCTCCATGCACAAAGCCAGCTTCATAAAAGCTTGTTTTTACATGTATGATACTTTCTATGCTCTATACCAGTTAGTTTCTGTTCCGGGTTTATGGAAGCCTGGACTTGTTTTTAACCACTTGCTGTCCAGAACAATTTCTTAATACCTGCACACACAATAAAACATAGATTTTGGGCTAGAAAACAGCTTCAAACCCCCAACAATATATTTTCTGAAAGCAGAGGCCCTGTAGAAAAAAATAATTTGTCTCACTATTTGTGCAAATGTTTAGCAAACCAGTATTTTTAGGATAGAATAGACTGAAATGAAATTTAGTGCACAGAAACAGAATATAATACTCAATTTTCTAGTAAAATATAAAAGACGGGGTCACGTTGGGTAAATAGATACCAAACATGTCAAACTTTAAAATTGCGTGTGCCTGTGAAACAGCGAAAAACTACAATACCCAAAATTCCCCATAGTCGATGCTTTAAAAGCTTTTAATGCTCATCAGTTTAGTGTTAACAGTGATTGATGGCCCTAGAATTATTGCTCTCACTCCGACGTTCGCGGCGATATGTAACATGTGTGGCACAATTTTTGTTTTTGCATTTTCTTTTAATATTACTTTCGGGTTTTTTTGTTTGTTTTTTTACACTCAACTTTATTGCGATAACTAAAAAGCCCCCTATGTAATAGCAAATAGCAAATAGGATGTGACAGGTCCTCTTTATGGAGACATCAGTGGTCTTTCAGACCCCTAATGTCACCTAAGTACCTCAAAGAAGCTGATGCAGCGGAGAACTGCTTCCCCAGCTTTTTCTCCTGGCTCTAAGACCCGGAGAATGTACACTTTGACACCGGAAGTGATGAAATACACATCACTTCCGGGTCCAGTGATCGGAGGAGAGATCAGCGGCTAGAAGCCTGCTGATCTCCCTCCGATCTGTCGGTGAAGACCTGCCGTGCAGACCCCCAGCCCACCAAAGCCTTCCCCAACCCGGTAACCAAGCTATGTGTGTAGGAGTGAGGCATTGAGATCGATGTCCTCAGTGGGTTTTTTTCTCTTTTTTTTGATTGGACAGCTTGGACCAATGGCTCTTTTCTAATGGTCTATATCATCCATAGAGCTTAAGCCTCTAACATAGAGTAGAGGCTGTTGCAGATCTTGCCTCACTATGTTAGATCACACAAGAAGTGGGGAAACCCACTGCTTTGCAGTGGCGCAGTGGCGGAACTACCGTGATTGCAGCCGGTGCCGGGGCACCGGGGCCTGAAGCTGTGGGGGGGCCCAGTGCAGAGAGAGAGAGACTGCGGCTCTGTGACAAGATGAGTGATTCCCCTGTGCTTCCTCCGGCCATGTAAACTGACACCAGCCAGGAGGACAGTGTCAGATGGCTGAGGAGACTATCTGCCATTCCAGAACACGGAATAGATAGCTGAACTTAAAAGTTTCAACTATTCTGTTCATTTAGTTCATCTGGGTTCAGCAGGTATCAACTGAAGTGTTTATATGAGGACCGGGACTAAACGGGCTTACTGATTTTACAGCCTCATATCATACAGGGAACTACAATTCCCAGCATGCCCTCATTGTCCCTGTACAGTCCCCCATATCTTCCCTGAGTTCCCTGAGTGATATTTGGGGGGCGTACAGGGACAATGAGGGCATGCTGGAACTTGTAGTTCCCTGGGTAATATTTGGGAGGGGGGCTACACAGGGACAATGAGGGTATGCTAGGACTTGTAGTTCAATTACGACAAGTCCCAGCATGCTCTCATCGTACCTGTACACCCCCAAATATCACAGGGGGGGGCGCAAAATTTTGTTCTGGGCGCCCATTACTCTGGTTACGCCACTGCTGCTGTGTAACCTAACTTAGCTGTCAAAAGCCAGATGCAGTGCCGCCTGTAATTAACAAGCATCGCTCCATCCATGACAGGTTACGCAGCGGGGAGGCTTCCCCTGTTGTGTAGCCTGTTACAAGCCGATCTGGATGGAGAAAGAGCTGTCAGCTTCAGACTCCATAATCCAGTCATAATAGTCGGTACACTGGGCAGTCAGTGGTCAGGCATGTCGGTACACTGGGCGGTCACTGGTCAGGCATGCTGGTACAGTGGGCAGTCAGTGCAAAGGCATGTCTGTGGAGTGGGCGGTCAGTGGTCAGGCATGTTGGTACAGTGGGCGGCCAGGCATGTCGGTAGAGTGGGCGGTTAGCGGTCAGGCATGTCGGTAGAGTGGGCGGTCAGGCATGTCGGTAGAGTGGGCGGTCAGGCATGTCGGTAGAGTGGGCGGTCAGCGGTCAGGCATGTCTGTACAGTGGGCGGTCAGCAGTCAGGCATGTCGGTAGAGTGGGCGGCCAGGCATGTCGGTAGAGTGGGCGGTCAGCGGTCAGGAATGTTGGTTCAGTGGACTGTCAGTGGTTAGGCATGTTCAGGCAGGTGGGTAGAGTGGGCGGTGAGGCATGTCGGTAGAGTGGGCGGTCAGGCATGTCGGTAGAGTGGGCGGTCAGCGGTCAGGCATGTCTGTACAGTGGGCGGTCAGCAGTCAGGCATGTCGGTAGAGTGGGCGGCCAGGCATGTCGGTAGAGTGGGCGGTCAGCGGTCAGGAATGTTGGTTCAGTGGACTGTCAGTGGTTAGGCATGTCGGTACAGTGCGTGGGCTCCCTGCCTTGCGATCCCGTGCGGGCGATCGCATTGCGGCAGGAGGACGTGGCTAGGGTGACATTCACTTCAATGGCCCGCCACGCTCCCTCCTGCCCTGCAAAAAAGTGAGCCGGCCGCAATGCGATGTAGTGCGTTGTGGCCAGAATCGGCCCGGAACGCATTGCATCTGGTTTGAACATACCCTTAGAGTAATCAAAACATGTAAGAAACCAAGAACTGAATCACCCCACCAACATTTACCCATAACTAGACAATATCATCTGTGATAAATTCCCTCATTGTATTTATAGTAACACTATATTTTGTTTTGCTTGTTTGTTTTATTATCAATAATCAAACTGAAAAAATATATATTTTAAAATATGCGTAAAATTAGATAATTTTGGAAAACAATACCTCAAAATGAAAGCTTTATTTGCCACTGCTTACTATGAGGGGAATTTATCAAAACTGGATCCATGGCAACCAATCACCTTCTATCTTTCATTTTCAGAGCTTAACGGAACAATTTGAAGAGGAAAGCTGATTGGTTACTATGGACAACTGCTCCAGATTCTGTCTGCTCCAGTTTTGATGAATTCCAATATAGGCATCGCTTCAGTTAAGAAAACATTTTCACTGTGGCAACAGCTCCATAAATAATCAGTGAAAATTGCTGCGGTCCATAAGAGGTTAAACAGCTGCAAGACCTGAAGGGGTTAATTACTCTTGTTCGACAATATGGTCATTAACATTTTGTGCTGCTCACAGGTCCAATTTAATGGAGCAATGTTACATGTTTCACACCATATATTTTTTTTACATGGTAATTGCACTGTGAAAATTCATCGGTCTCTAGAGAGGCAAGTCATGTGAATGTGGTAGTATGGCAGACAAATTCTCTGACAGTAGTCTGGAGCAGCTGTGAATTATAGGCACAGCAAAGTGAGAGGTGTCATGGAGACATCCAGCAAGAAATAGGTTAAATGGCAGAGGAGTGGTTTGTTCAGCAAGCCTTCCCTTTAACTTGTGACTCATCATCAGTTTATCACATTCAGACATGGACCCCCTTTCCTTGTTGCTGCAGCCGCCTGTCTTCTACCCGGTGTGTACTGGAAATGAAATACTTAAAGGGAATGTTGGTTGTATCATGCACAATAATGAGCAGTCACAGCTGGATAAGTAGCCACATAGTAGGCTGTATGTATGTGAATGAGTGCCAAGGCACAGGGTGGAAATGCTTACTTACCTTGTAAAAAGTTTTGTGGCGTGGTTACATAAGTTTCTATGCACTGCTAAAAATAACTTTAGCAGGAGAAATTCAAGTTGTTTTTCTGCATGACTTCAAACATAAACTAGAAAGGAAACTGTTGCGGTTTTTCAGGTTGGATGCAAAGGATTGACGGCGTAGTTGCTGCATAGGTTTGTTAACAGCATGCTTAGGCTATGTGCATTTCCTGCTTAATTGTATCATTGCCAAAACAGAGCCTAAGCTGCAGCTAAAAAAAAGTTGTCTTTAACTATTTCTTACAATTGCTCTTGTGTATTGTGCTTGGTTGTGGCCATGTGACTGTCGCTGTGCTTTGCTGGCCACCGAAATGGCTTCATAGTAAGTGCACAAATATATGCTGTTCAGTTTTAAAAAATACATGTTTAGCAAACGTTTTCACGTTTGCTAAACATAGCAGGATATAAATTCACTAATGCCTTTGTTCACACCAGCAGCGGTTCCCAACGCAGCCCCAATACAAGAGCAAGCCTTTTGTCCTATGGCTTCATCTCACACCAAAATGCTGTGTTAGCATGTGATGAAAAGAAATTGTAAAACAGGTTGCGTTTTTGCACGTGATCAAACTGTGTGGCCAGTTAGCACAGAAAGTGAATATATTTGTGGGGGTGCATCACTAGAAAGATCACAAGAAGGAGGTCCTGATTTCCTTACATAGATCTTTATCACTAGAAGAATCGCCAGTAGGAGAAACGAGGTCCTGATTCCCCTACATAGATATTTATCACTAGAGGGATTACCAGCAGGAGGAAGGAGGAGGTGTTGATTCCCCCTACATAAATCTTTATCACTAGTAGGAGAAAGGAGGTCCTGATTTCCCTACATAAATCTTTATCACTAGAGGGATCACCAGCAGATGGAAGGAGGTCCTGATTCCTTTACATGGATCTTTATTACTAGAGGGATCACCAGCAGGAGGAAAGTGGTCCTGATTACCCTACCTACATAGATCTTTATCACTAGAGGGATCAGCAGCAGATGGAAGGAGGTCCTGATTCTCCTGCATAGATCTTTATTACTGGAGGGATCACCATCAGGAGGTCCTGTTTCCCCTAGATAGATCTTTAGTTAGGGTGAAAGGTCTGAGGGATAAACCGAATCAAGAGTGAACCCTTTTTTTTCCTTAAAGGAGAACTATGGGGTCAGTGTTTTTCCCCATAGTTCTCCTTAGGGTAACGGGAGGACACAAACTAGAGTCCTCCCGTTACCCTAAGCTCAGTATACCGCGAGCTACATAGATGACGGGATCCGCCCAGCTGCGTGAGTGACAGCTGGCTCTGCCTATCTAGCGGCAGAGCCAGCTGTACCCGCCCCCTCCCCCGTCCGTTCCGCCAGTCAGTGCTGGCAGATCGGAGCGGGGAGAGGGGAATCCAGCCCTCCCCCTGTCACGGCAGAGAGCCGTGACAGGATCGAGAGGTGAGCGAGCCTGGTATGTGTTCGCTCACCTCCCGATCTACTGAGCCGACCTGTGACAGTCTCATTGTCACAGGTCGGCTAGAACTATGAGGTGAGTGAAAATCACTCATCTCATAGTTCTCCTTTTTAAAAGGCTAATTCCGCCTTTCTGACCATGTTTCATGCTACACCCATATTTTGGGTATAACATTAAACATTGGTTACAACGCAACCTGCATTCCCTGAAATGCATTGTTCTTCTACCCAAAACAATATTTTGTATTTCCTTTTGCATTGGTACATGTCATCTATGGAAGTTCCCAACTCCCTGATGCCTTTTTCAACAATAGCTTGCTTATGAGCCTTTAAAACTGAATAAGATTCACCTCCTATATACTTTAATGGGTTTATTAAACTTAATTCTTGACATTTTGACAGTTTTTGTTTTTTGTGTGTCCACTTCTGTAGATTATCCCTTATGCATGCACCATATTTGGGGGTCTTCGTCCTGGGCGTATGATCCTCATACATGGAGGTGCTGGCTGCAGTGCATCAAGGTATGTGACGCTCTAAATTTGTACATTTGCCTTCCATGTCTCCTACTGACATCCATTTCAGTGCATACATGGTTGAGGGGATTGGAATTCTGTAATATGCTAGAATTACAAAAATAGCCTCCAATTACTTTAATCACAGAAATGTAAGCATATAATTTACATTTTTTTCAGGTTGTGAAATGCAGACACAGTAGTTGACAAATGTCTTCATATTGTGTTTGTTGTGGGGGGGATGCTAGTTGTTGAAAAGGACTATATTTAAAGGAGAACTATGGGGTTAAGGCTTTTCCCCATAGTTCTACTTAGGGTAACGGGAGGACACAAACTAGCGTATTCCCTTAACCCTAAGCTCAGTATACCGCAAGCTGCAGCTCGCGGTATACTGAGACGCCACAGTATACCGCCAGCTACTGCTCGCGGTATACTGAGACGCTGAAGCGAATCCCGACAATTATGCCGGGATCGCTGTACCCGCTCCGCTCTAGATTCAGATTTGGGTCACGCATAGGTTTGAGGCAATCCCAAATTGCCGTGATAGGGAAAGCATAAGAAGTGCTGCATAGGTTTGTGTAGGGCTTGTAGGCACTGTCTGGTCTCTTAAAGTAGGTTAAAACTCTTACTGAATGTCCTGTAGGTAGCAAATTGCTGTGTATCGTGGGGAATTTGGGGGTGAAATTAAGGAATTTGTTTTACCTCCTAATGCTGCTGCAGCTTCTTTACATCCATTCCAGCTGCACTACAGTCATAACAGACTGCATGTGCTTTTTTTCATGGAATATTTTCGTTTTTTTCCAAGTGATATTATGTTAAAGTTTATATGTGATTTTTTTTTTTTTTTTTTTTTTTTTTTTTTTGTGTGTGCACAGATGTGTACACCCAAATATAAGTTTTTAGGGGCCAATATCTGTTATCAACAATTGATCGGTAGCTACAGCTGCTCTTCTATTGTCAACACCTTTTTAGCTACTTTTTTTATCAGTTGGGGTCTTTTCCAATTTTTTGCACTAGCTAAAAAAAAAATGAAGTGCAAGAACAGTGTGCATCTAAACCATCTCACATAATATCACTCGCATACACCCTAACCCCCTACCCCCATAGATAAAATATAATTTAGGCATACACCACTTAAGCCTATTTATTTCCTAATTATAACTGTCCTCTTGCTGCCCACTTTTACACTGCTGTATCATCTGTGGTTTCTTAATTCTTAAGTAATATCCCATCCTGCATTCTTTGTCTCTAGTGAATTAGGCATAGTCTTGTTATTTAAATGGTTCTGCTGGCTAATTTTGTAGTAAAATGCCTGACTCACTAGCACTCACTGGGTTAATTATCAACAGATTAAATTATATGAAAACAGTGCTGCGCTGTGAAATTCTTTGCTCCAATATTTACAAATGTGAAATGCAAACAGTGAATCAACACGTATCAAAATTGTGAAAAATATGTAAAAGTTTAAAATCGACCGCAAATCAACACTTGTTTTCCATGCATATACTGTATCAATCTTAATTGTGATCAATCAACAACATAATAAATGTCTAAAACAAATGTTTTTCCTACATTTGTATGCTATCCCGTGCAGTTCAACAATAAAGAGGTTTCCACCATCATTCATAAGTGCATCTTCCACCACCAGTCTTCTGCCAAGAACTTCCTTTTAGCACCTCGTAGTGATCCCTACTCTCAAAACGCTGCTCACCTTATGGTTAGACCCCTTAAAAGAAGGTCTAACAGCAACAGGTCCTTCTTTGCCTTTCGGCCAGCTGGGATTATGCCTCCAAAATCAGGCCGCCTGTGCTCTAAATCACCTCATGCAAAAGGGTGAAAGATGCATCATAGCGCACTCCATTGCCAAACAATAAAAACCTTTTTTATTAAAATATACTCGCAATAAAAATTGAAAGACAGAGTTCTCAAAGTGAAATCCAGGGAGAGTCAACTATCCACAAGGATCCCTTTCTCCCAGGATCTACAGATGCTCATGCCTCACACAGCAGTCCTGCTATCAAGCTCTGCTCAGGCTCCGTCCTACGAGCATTGCATCACAGGTTCGACTTTGTCCAGGGCATCTGCCCCATGCACATGAACATGCATGATTGTTAATAATGCATGGTAAAATACATGGAAATGTGTAAATCTACCTCAGAGGCACTGCCAGTTAACATAACAATAACTTATTGACTAATGTGCCTACTTTTTATTATTTTTATGGTTTTTTTAAGGACATATAAGGCTTTTCCCCTTAGATTTATTAACATAAAACAATACTGTAATGTGTGCCTTACTGTAATCCATGGTTGTTTCCCTTCTCTTTGCTGCTCTTCCTTTTTAAATCTGTATCTGTTCTCATGCTGGGCAGAACTTCTGTTTTGCGGCAGACTGCCTTGTCTCAGGAATGGATGTATGGTGTCTGTGTATAGGTTTGTAACCTGAGCCAGCACTACAGGAAGAGGCACTCAGCTGCAAAGGGAAGTTCTCCCCAAGCATGAGAAGACATGAGGATTTAAAAGGAAGAGCAGCAAAGAGAAGGGAAACTACCATGGATTACAGTAAGGCACACATTACAGTATTGGTTTATGTTAAAAAATCTGCGGGTTTAATGTCACTTTAAGTACAAAGTTTTGAATAACCTGCTCGGATTTATTGTTATAGGCTGACAAATGGACAAAAAAATTTGAACATATTTATTTTAAAAACTCTATACAGTCTTTAAAAAAAATAAAATGTTTCTTTCTGCACAGAAAATGACAACTGCTGGTATATTTCTATGTCAATAGACAGCTGTTTACAAAGCCGTGTGCTCACCATGTCATAGCTAATGTGATCACAGGACCAGGAACCATGCTGATTGGTTCCCAGTCTTTTGTGGGGACGGGAGCTGTCAGTGACAGCCAGTCTAAGAGGTAGCAAACGCAGACAGTGTCAGCTGCTAGCTGCCAAAATGTGAAAGTAGATTAATGTTTCCTCTGCATTGGGCATCATGCAAGGAAACAGTAATATTTTTAATGTAGACAACAAAGGGGTTAAGATAACTTGGATTTATGTCTTTAATGAATTGCTACTGCTGTGTATTCTTTACATAGACCTGCAACATGATCTCTTATGTTATTTTTCTTTGTAGATTTCAGATTGATTTCCAATGTGGTTGCAGCACACGTCCACGGTCTGATGTAGCTTTTCATTTCAATCCTCGCTTTTCTTCTTCAGATGTGCACATAATCTGCAACACCCTACGCAAAGACCATTGGTTAGATGAGTTAAAGTTTTCAGGAGCCCCACTAAGAAAAGGGGAATCATTTGTGCTACTTTTTCTCTTCCTTACAGATGAGGTCAAGGTAAGAAAATAAAAAACATATAGTAGATGCATATATATTGCTTGGTTTAGGTGTGACCTATGCAGAAAATTTAATTTGTCCTTAAAGGGTATCTCCACTTTAGAAAAAAAAATAATGTTATTACAATTACCTTTCTATTTAAAACTGCTGCTTTTAATTTAACCACTTGCTGATCTGGGTGTTTACACCCCCTTCCTGTCCAGACCATTTTTAAGTATTCAGCACTGCAGTACTTTGACTTACATTTATTCTGTCATGCAATGCTCTACTGAAATGAATTGTATACCATTTTTGGGGAACAGATAGAGCTTTCTTTTGGTGGTATTTAATCACCACTGGGGTCTTTATTTTTTACTATATAATGAAAAAAGTACCAAATATATGTTGGATAAAAAACCTGTTGTCCCTATGTTATAAAACATTTTATTACGCATATTTTTGGTAAATATAAAAGACGGGGTCACGTCAAGTAAATAGACACCAAACATGTCAAGCTTTAACATTGCGTGTGCCCGCGAAAAAACTACTACACTGAAAATTGGCCATAGGCGATGCTTTAAAAGCTGTTACTGCTCAACACTTTAGTGTTATCAGCGCACCCGACACTTTTTAAAAATGTTGTTTTTTTTATTGTAACTTTTTTTGATCGTTTCTTCTTTTCACTTAACACTTAACTTTATTGCTATTACATTTGGGGATAACAAGTCCCCTATGTGATAGCCAATTTGCAGTGACAGGTCCTCCCTTTTATGGAGACATCAGAGGCCTACTTCAAAGCCAACCCCCCCGTCTTCTGTACCGGAGAGTGACAGATGAATGCGGAAGTGATGTAATATACATCACTTCTGCATTCCCATAACGTGGAGGAGATCAAACGGAGATCGTGTACTGATCTCGGTTTGATCCCCGGTCACAGAGCTGCTGTGCTGGTCCCGGGCTCACACCGGGCACAGCGGAGCTCGGGATCGCCAGGGGCGGCTGTGACGGACACCTGCACGCATATTACAAGCGATCGGGGGTCGCTACAGATGCCCGAATGCTTGTATATAAACAACTATTGCTGGCTGTTTACATTTCAAGCTGATTTCCCACTTGTGCATGCCGCCTAGCAGTGGGCATGAGCGGGGCGGGACATTTAAAAGCTCCCACCCGCAGCCAAGAAGTCGCAGTCCAGCCATTTAATTACAATGGCTGGACAGCAGGTGGTTAATAAAACTGAAGAAGTCTGCACTTGGATACAAGTAAAATTTTAGGCATCTCTTGCAATAGGAATTAAATTTTTGGTGGGATACTTCCTAAGGACTAATTACTACTGCAGGCATGAAGACACATTAACTTTCCTCAATACAACACAGAAAGTCTACCAGGTGATTATAATAAACCCAGACCCTCCCTTTCAGGAATCAGTCTGGCAGGGACATGGTGAGACAAACTGCTATTTCTTCAGAACGGAAACCGGTAGGAATACGCAACAAAGTTTTGTTTGAATTGTACAATGATCACCCAGAGGAGATTGGTTTTTATTTTCTCAACAAGAAGTGGAGCTACTGATTAAAGACCACATTTACTGAGCTCACATCTGGCCTAGTCAACTGTACGCCAGAGTGCTTAGGTCATTCTGAAGTTGTCATGTGCATTAGCTTTTTCAGTTGTGGCACCCTTTAAAAGTATGTGAAATCTCACACCAGTCTATAAAATTTAAAAAACAAGTGTCTTGTATGCATTTTGTATGCACAATGTGGCTGCAGCAGCATAGCAGAGTGCAGGCGGTAGAGCAGGTCTGGACAAAACAAAACTTCCGTCCTCTTCTGAATGAGGAGGTCCTGGATTAGCACCATGCTCGTCTGCACCATGGAAATGCATCATTGAAATGTTGAAGGCATCCCTGACAAAGGCAGAAGGTACCCCAGTGTGCCCTGGCACCCTAGTTGTGAAAGGCTGCTGTACATTTAAGTTTTCATTGGATTCATTAAATCTAACCAGCACACCTTATCGCTGGAGCCCTCATGGTGACTGGGCATTGGATGTTTTTTTTTTTTTCTTTTTCTTTTCTATAAATGTAACTGTTGGTGGTTCTTTTATTTTTCATTTTATATTCCAGGTCGGCATTAATGGACAGCATTTTCTGGATTTCACCTATCGCCTTCCTCTGAAAGATGTGGACGCTCTTGGAATTTATGGAGATGTTAGCATAAAGGAGATCTCCTTTCTCAGCAGTAATGTAAGTGGTCAGAAGTCATTACGACACCTCGCATGCAATGCAGTTTCCGTGTGCTCAAAAACACCTTATTATATCTACAAACTAAAAGGATTGACAGCAGTGAAGGTTCATGCAGATGGGCTTTGTTTGCAAGTCTGCAGTTTCCAATTTACTTTAATTGCTTTCCCTTCTGTTTCTTTGAACTCTTGATTCCTGCTGTTTCAAAATGTTTTCAAAAATGTATTATTCTTAAGCAAAAGTAGTCCAAACAAAGCTGCTGGATCCGCACAGGGACTAGAAAGTGAAATGCTACTCAAAGCCCATAATGCATTTGAATGCATGCATTTAAGAAACAACGGGCGAAAGCTGGAGCAAAGAAAATCTGGAGCAGTTGCCCATGGCAACCAATCGGCATCTCTCTTCAGTTTGCCCAGGTAAGATTTGTAAACGAGAAAGAGAACCTGATTGGCTGCAGTGCAAATCTGCTCCAGATTTTGTCTGCTCCAGTTTTGATCAATTCCCCCAATGTGTTCAAATGTAAAATGCAGCATTTAAGAGCAAACCCATCTACACAAGCCATAGGTAAAATCACAGCCATTCTAACACTAGACCTTTTTGTTGTGGCTGGTATCTCAACTGCCACTGGGCCGCAGAGACAGATCTTTAGCATCAAACAAATTTGCAGTCTCAGTACACACTGTGGAGGGAATTTATCAAAACTCTAGCAGAAGAATCTGTAGCAGCTGTCTATGGCAACCAATCAGCTTCTCTCTTTAGTTTGTTCGATTAAGGTTTGAAAATGAAAGGTGAATGCTGATTGGTTGCCATGGGCAACTGCTCAATAGTCTGTCCCCTCTTGTTATATCTCTCTCCAACTTTCATACTCCTCTTTTTTTTTTTCAATCTTCTCCCACTTCATCTTTTTTAATGCTATGATCTTTTGCATCCCAAATTATGTGTATATATAATTCAACAATACACTTAACGTGAATTCTACTTTTATTTCAACAGCCTTTTCTTGACAAGCTGACTCCTTATCCTATTTGCCAGGTAAATTTACAATCGAATGTTTACTGAACAAATACAGTTGGAATTCATATTGCAATTTTGTACTTTGGCACAAGGTGGAGCCAGACTACAGAGAGAAGTACCTTGTCGGTGTCCACTCATTGTGACCTGTTGTAACATTATTATTATACAGGATTTATATAGCACCAACAGTTTGTGCAGCACTTTACAATATAAGGACGACGTTACAGTTCCAATACAATTCAAAACAAGATGGTTAGGAAGGCCCTGCTTATACATACAATCTAAAATAGAGGTACATGTGATAAAATGAGGGCACAAACCTATTATGGGGAAATATGGATGGCCATCCCTAACTTTTTCGCCACTGGAGGTGGCCAGTTAAAGGAGGCTGAGCCAGTGGCGGAACTACAGCCTCAGGGCCTCAGCCTCAGTCCTGGCCTGTGCATAGATGGCATCCAGCGGCCGGCAGGCGTCTCTGCGGGAGTGTCGGATCATCCGTTCATCTGACACTCCCGGCGCAGAGATGGGGGTCCAGCGGGGAGGAGAGAAAGTGTCACAGACGGCCAAGCGCTGGAGGAAGAGAGTGCAGTGCTGTGAGCAGCCAGCGTCTCTCACCCCACACCGCTCAGCCTCCTATCACAGTCTGGTGTTCTATCGCAGATTGTGACTGCGTAGGAATGTGTGACCGCTAACGTCATCACACTTTCTAATGTAATCACGCCCATTTTTTCGGCAGTAGAATGTGTGACCAGGAAACAGGGACACCGGCACTGCAATGTTAGTTCAAATATACAGTCTTTTTACTGTAGAAAAAATGACATGTCACAAAGTTGCGACGACCCCGAAACGGTCGTCACAACTTTGTGACATAGTTTTTTTGTTAGTCGCCTGTGCTGCTGCATTTTAATGATGCATTTTAATACACACTGCCACAACACACAAGTCTGAAAAGGCCCTGTAGCTTTTCTTAGGCTTTCATGCTGGCAGTGCCTTCGTGTCCCAGTTACTCCCATTCCTCTTATTTATGTCTATGAACATACAAATCCCAGGAACCCTGCATGTTCCTTAAAAATGACAGCTGCCCCTCCTAACTTTTTTGAGTTTTTTCTCTAGTCTAGTATTGGAGCAGGAAAAGTATTTGTACTTGTACCAAGTACGGTACTTGGTATCTGAGCATTCCTATAAATTGGTAAACTAAACATGAGATTGTAGTCCATCACAGGAGGAAGCTTGGAGCGGTGGCTACTTTACAACACACAGAGACAATGTGGAACAAAAGTAGCCACCTTCCTGAAGGAAGGACAGTGTCAGCATGAATTCAGAGATGATTTGAGGATCGACAGCCGAGTGATACACAAATAAATGAAATTTGTGATAATAGTTGAGGTACATTTGTAAGCTTTAGCTTCTAAGTTTAGTGTCACTTTTTAAATGTGCGCTCCATAAATACCTGCATTGAGATCTGAAGGTTTGTCCTCGGAGCCTTGCATCTGAATGTGCCCATTGTTGGGTCAAAGTGTTTTCCTGAACTCTAAAGAGAAACCACGATGTCACAGGTAGGTATTTGAAGATGCAAAACACTGATGTGGGTGAGGTTTTTTTTTCTTGCCATGGATGTGAGCTTCTCTGTATGTAAGAACATATACTTGTAGTTCTCCAAGGGCCTGTTCACATGAGTTTCAGGTCCGGATCTGCAGACACGGTGCTACTGATGCAGTGTGTTTTGGCCACGTTTTTGATGCGTTCCAGTAAAAAAAAAAAAAATAATTTTGACGCGTTTGCATTTCCTGACCGTACAAAATGTGACATGCAGTATTTTTCTGTCGTAAGCTGAACGGACTGCGCACGTGAGAACTATAGCCCATAAAACACATAGGGATACATTGGGATGCATTTTGAGTGCAGGAGCGTACGGATCAGGTCAGCACAGAAAACGGACGTTGTGTGAACAGGCCCTTAAGGTGTGTCAGCTGAGATAATAAAGGCTTTTGCTCATGTATTTACAAGCTAGCTGGGACTAAACGAATGGAGATTGATTAAAAAAATAAAACAAAACTTCAGCTTTTTTTTTTTTTGTTCTCTAGCCCTTGAAACCTGGCAATGCAGACCTGGTATGTATATAGGTTTAACATAATATTGTTGCATGTATTTATAGATATTAAGTCTAGTATGCTAAAAATTCTGAAAAAGCTATCCTGTATGTACAACTTGCAAGTGTCCAATCAGTGCAGTATTAGAAATTCTGAAGAAGAGTTTGTGAGCCTCTCTAAGGGCCACATCATGCTTTTGCTATGTGTTTCAGTAACACGAACGTGATTAGGACCTAACAATGATTTAGCAAAAGGTCTTGCACACATACATTTCAGGCCTTGTTCACACCGAATGCAGTGCGTTCCAGAGCGGTAGCTGCTGGAATGCACCTCAATTGCTCAAACTTTTGGCTTGTTATCTCCTGTGTGATCGCAATAAAGTTAGGTGGAAAAAAAAATTACATTGATTTACATTTTTTTTTAAATAAATAAAAATGTAAAAAAATAATATGAAATAAAATAAAAAAGGTGATTTTAAAAAGTAAAAAATAATAAGAAACAAATTAT